CGAAACATATAAGTCAAAATGAAATAACTCTTCAAATTAACCAAATTAACGAGTTTTTGTCTCTCGAATCTCCAACTGATTAATTAATACTTTATAAAAAAAAAAAAAAAAAAAAAAAAAAAAAGCTAGCTCAAAGGGAGGTGGATTGTCAAAGCCTTATAAGGAGATCATCCATCTTATTAACCACCAATGTGAGACTTTTTTCATTCTTCAACCCCCACCTCACACCCAGGGTTGGACATATGGAGTGTGGACAATTTAATTTGGGAGCCCAACATTGAGTGAGATGGGTCCTGCTTTGATACCATGTTAAATTAGGTTTCGCAGGTAACTCACACCCCAAAAGCTAGCTCAAAGGGAGGAGGATTTCCCAAGCCTTATAAATATACCACCCATCTCATTAATCATCGATGTGGGAAACACAACTAAGTTATGCCAAATGATCGACTCTTTTATTTTCAGAAGCACAGGCTAAGGCAAATTATTAAAAACTAGCACAAGGCCTTAAGATAGATTAGCACATTTAACCAGAGCCATAGTCATACTTCTCAAATAAGATTACAATGCACTAATATGAACATAATCACACGAGACTCAAACAATTAACAAATAAATGTGTCAAGCTACTATTTTAAGAACCATTTGGCCATGGATACCATTTCCAGGGAATTAATCGTATGGAAATTAAGCCAAATGAATGCTAACAAATCACAGGAGGGGAGGGAATGATGCGTAGGAGCGAGGTATTATAGAATATCAAAGACACCGTTTACAATTTCATATAGAGAGACAAAGAATTGATCTTTCAAAAATATAAGAAATTGCTCCTTTTTAATCAAATAGATCCACTAGTAACTTAAGATATACAAACTGAAAATTTAATACAGAAAAAAAAAACTTATCAGCATTCGAGACCAAGACTTGTTTCACGGTTTGTAAAGAAAAGGTGACCAATGAACCATAATCAAACCACTTAAAGAATTTTCTCGACAAATTAATTAACAACTGGCTGAACGAAGAGCAATTATCACGCAGGCATATGGCTATAAGGAACTCCAGGAAGTCACACCATCTCATTGTTGTGAGAAGATGACATAGTGTGGGATCTGATATTGGCGTGTGGTTATCAGCTTCAAGTTTATTACCATATCACATTATCACTATGATGTTAATATAGTATATACCAGAACAGCAGAGTCCCGAACTTAGCCCGAGAAAGACCACTCTGCTACTATGCCATTGCCATTTTCCTCTTTCCTATGTCCTCATCTTAGTTGTGGGGGTGCTCATTTGGATTTCTGCGTCTACTTGTGCCTTTCTAAATGATATTGCTGATCCAGAAGAATCCTATAGCGGCAGCCAACAATATTAAAAGCTTCTATATTTCTTCTCCAGTTCGTGTTCTTTCTTATGTGGTGAAAACAGGTGATATTTTCATGGAAAATAGAGACATTGAGAACTTCTTTCAGAAACAATAAAACTATAAAAGATGCTTTTGCTGGGCTCCTAACATCATTAGTAGCCAAAACATCAGTGTAGCTTTGATGCTTGTCAACAGCCCCACTCTAGGCTAAAGCTCTCAACAGCGGCTCCTCCTTTCCCCCACCCCTCCCAGAAAATATAGAAAAAGGAAGACAGAAAAGTATTCTCAACCTGCTGCCCCCTCCTAGACTCCTACAATACTCAAGCCAAGTCCCTCACACCTGAGGTTTATGGAACCTCGCTCCAGCTTCCACACTTCATATCCTCTATCAGCATTGCATCTTCTTTTTACTGTGTTTCTCATTCCCATGTACACACAGTCTCCTGCTATAAGCTGAATAGTACCTTCCGAGTTCCAAGGCACGCGGGGTTTGATCTATTTCAGTGATTACTGGTACCTAAGGTGGTAGTTTATTTGGGACTTGTGAAATAACTGGTCCATGGTAAACAGAACTGTTGATTCAGAATGGAATGAATAGCTTTTTCTTCTGGCCTAAGGTTTAGTTTAGTCTTAAGGATGTGGCACTTGATGTGTGAGTTAGGTGCATGTCCCAGGTTCAAATCGTACTGTGGACAAAGCCCCTAGTAATTAAGTTTGGAGGAAAAATAGAGGAGCAGGCTAATACTCCCTAGAGTTATGAACCTGGCGCCAACTAGAACCAGAAGCCCACAAGGGATTTCGCCGATGCTCCACGTCCTCCCCCTCCCCGAAAAGGTTCTTATGCTAATAAAGAATTTCAATAATGAGAAGAACGGGATATCTTTTGTCATCAGCAACTGCTTTCAAAGACCATGGATGTTCTTCTTTCTGTTTTCATTAATTACAACAATAAAGATACATGTCTAATTTGAGAAACTAAGAGAATGTTATCACTCCCCTAGAGTTTTAAATTACATGTTCACATTAGATCAGTATAGATGTACATCTAAACAATTGCATCAATAAAGAGTATATTAGTCTCTAAGCCTGATTGCTCTGTTTCACTGTGCTGTTGCAGGGAACTCAATACCGCAATGCTGTGCAAAAGTTTGTCGATGTCTGCAAGCTGAACGAATGAAATGGCCATAATCCTGGTAAAACTGTTCAAGAAAACCCCCTATTTAACACTTTGATATGACAATATTGTTGTAATCTTTAGTTTATTCGTCATCTGTATATGCCATATTGCTTCCTGTAAGTTTATAGTGCGTCTGAATTGCGTCGCATGAAGGCATCAAGAAAATGACTTCTACATGGCCGGTTTGTCTTATTCTTTCTTATGAAGTTAAAGGAATGAAAAACAAAATCTGTTTCCCCCACCAAAAAGAGTAGCAGTATTTGACTTGTACAAAAGTATTGTGCTTAATGACCGTAATGTACGGACTTAAATAACTCTATTAAGAATAGTAGAGTGGTGAACATAAATTACTTTGTTTGATATTGATTGAGTGAAGGGCACAATGCTAAAAGATAATTGGATAGAGAAGATTTAAGTATCTTTAAACATGGGTTTTATTTGCTACGTCGTCAAAGCACTATAAACATAAAAGTGACTGATGGGATATTTTGTTTATTATAGTAACGAGATAAGATGGAAAGCACTATCAACAGCAATGGAAGAAAGTGGGAAACTTCAAGTAACCAACTTGTCGTTAATTAATAAATAAATAAACGTAATTCAATTCAACCCACTTATTACATCGTTCTTCTAATTTTTTTAATAAAAAAACGAACACACAGTGAAGGACACGACTTTCTTGATTTGCAATTTGGTAGTTGTTGTTATAGTTCTTTTCCATAATGTGCAAGTCAACTTAATAACTCTTTAATATAGAACTGAAAGCGTGCTATAATTACTTTAGGTTTATTTGTTAGTGTGGACGGTGGAGGAGTTCCATTAGTGTAAAAATGGATGCAAACTTAAATAGTATAACACAAAGAATCTTACAAAGTTTTCATTGTTTCAACTACTCGAACTCTCTTGAGACATGATTTAGAAACATATTTATGGTACATTTTTTTAGCTGAAAATTATACAGTGGATTTCCAAGGTGAAAAGCTAACTAAAAAGGGCTAAGAGGTTAAAATTAAAAGTAATTTATTTTTAATTATAAAAACGTGACATTTTAAGTTAGCGGGATACTTAAATTTTGGGATGTGCAAAAATCTATTTAATGGAAAAGACAAATCGAGAAAAACATCATTGGTTTATTTGTATAGCGCTATTGGGTAAATGATTTTATAAAAAATAATAATTGAGTAATCGATTTTATGATTCCGGTTAAGGGTTAAATAAAAAATTCAATAAAGTTATGTTAAAAGTAATATTCTATTCCTTATTATATAACAATGACTTTAACAATTTACTAATTATATTTTCTACTCCCTCTGTCCCTAATTACTTGTCTACTTTTGAATTGACAGGCCTATTAAAAAAACAATAATTGACATAGAGAGTTTACCATTTACCCCTATTAGTTATGAAGTGGATGAATTAAAAACTTAACATTTTCAAGAAGTTCTATCTTTTTCAAAGTAATTAATTGAGGATATAATATGTAAAAAATATTATCCTTTCTTGATTAGTCAAAATGAACAAGTAATTAGGAACAACTATAAAAAAAAAAAGTAGACAGATAATCAGGGACAGAGGAGTAGATTTTAGTATTACTTTCTGCCGTAGTCAATACAAACTAGTGTGTCACTATTGCCACACTTCCTCTCCTAGTATTTTTTTAATTTTCCACTCTACATAAATAGTACTATCCATCTGGTGTTCGATATTAACATTGAAGTTCGATTAAATTTGAATTTTGTGTGAAAAAGTCTCATATTAGGAATGAAACCCTTCCAAACAAACACAATATGAGACCTCTAATTAAAGATAAATAATTAATTACTATACCTCCTTAAATTAGATTTTCATTGACATCAAATTTTCTTGCCACTAGGTTGAAAGTGAGAACATGGGACAAAGAAGGTTCGAGTGACGTGGGATGCACCATGAGTTGCCGCCCCACAACTCATAAGTATAATGATGATGGATTGATTCGGAGCGACATCGTCATTGGCGGCCTACCGTCAAATCAGCACCGCCTGCCGGATTCCTCTTCTGCGACATAACCTTTAATTTATTTTTGGCTCTCTCTAATCTAAATATTCTTCTCCACGTTTTCTTCTTCCATTGGCTGCGCGCTCAGTGCTCACATTTCTCTTGCTCTTGCTGCTTACGTGTTGCTCTTTATTTGATGACAACAAAATTAATTTTTTTGAAATTTATATAAGTTTGATAATTATTTTAATTTTAAATAAATATAAAATTTGAATTAAAGCTCCGATCCCCACTTCACTCCTATTCCATTTCTTTCGACTCGCAATCACAATAGCCGTACAGTCGAATAGTTGAGTTAGACGGTACAGCATGACCCATGACTTTAGCTTCTAGGTTTTTGGTTTATGTCTATGGCGGTTATCTCTGATTATGTGTACGCTACATTGAACAACATAAAATGGGTTCTGTTGGTTTTATTTCGTTTGTTTTTTTCTGATTTATATGGAAGAATAATTTAACATCATTTCTCTACTATTTTATATTCTTGTTATAAATTCTGTACAGAATCAAAAGAACTTGTTTGGATGGTTGTTACATGTTTCATAATGTGTTATATTATATTAATTTGATGCATCAAGTATTTGAGAATAATTTCTTATTAAGGAATGATATTTCTGGACTCTTGAGGGATTCCTTTTTTTTTAGGCTAGCTTGTGGGTGTTAGTACTGTTCAAAGCTTAATTTAGTTAAATTGTACAACTAGAGCCGTTATAAAAAGATAGGTCAAATGAGTAAATAAATTATTAAAGAATATTTTTTAAAAATTATATTACATTTTTTGAGAAATATACTTTCCGCTATTATCTTTTAAATTATTCTCAAATTGTTTTTCTAAAAAAATTAGAGATTTTAGTCAGTGTGATGGACTTATCTGTGTCTGCTAGTCAGATTTTCAGAAGAGAATAGTTTTAGGAATATTGTTTTCGGCCCATCACGTCTCCGCTCTGCGTTTTTGTCTTACGCCATTTGTTCTCTTTTGCAAAACTTATGATTCTTTTACCAACCGCAACAGAAAATAGATAGCTCAATGCACTAAAGCTCACATTGTATATCGAATATCTTTTAAAAGTATATTTGATAGTTTTCCCAAGATAAATAAAAGAGTTACTTGTGGGAAAGAAGGAAGTAAAAAACGTAAAATTTTGACAATTGTGAACTGAATATGCTGTCAAATTATAAGTAGTATATTAAGTCGACAAATTAAAGGAACTTTTGCTTTAATTAATTTGTTGTGCAAATGGCAAGCAGTGTAACCCCCCATTCATAGCTAACTCTTCATATGAGTTTAATTTGTCTTCTTCTTGTCCACTCACCAAACCATACACTATACTATTCCTCTAAAGAAATAAATATATAGTGGAACTAGAATAGGAGTGCTACCGTCAATGATGATTCAATTTTCACTTATTAAAATATTATTATTTTCCATTAAAATTTACAATTGGAAAACATTCACGATTTGTTTTCATAAATATTTTAATTGAATTGATGAGAAAAAAATAAGGAAAAATGGTTTGAAAAATACTTTAACGTTGATTGAAATTGTTGTTACGATACCAAATTTTATGGAAGATTTTTTACCCCTACACTTTTTAATAGTGTATTTTAAAGGTATTTATGTGCCCACATGGACACATTACTATTTATAATGATACAATATTTATGATGTCCACGTTGACACATATATACCTTTAAAATATACCATTAAATAGTGATGGGGTAAAAGGTCTTTTTCTTCATTGGACGGTTCGGATGGACTTCGCCGTTCTTTCCCAACTAAAATCGAAAGGGTTGTATCACATCGAGATGTCGATTCGTTTTCCGCCCCCAATGAGATGGGGAATTTTTCACCCCCTATTTAGACTTTTGGGCCCTTCATCTTTCTGAATCTTCTCGGTAAAGAAGAACTCTTTCGCACGATCTTAAGAGAGCCTAGTTCCACAAGAGAGTTATCACGAGCCTTTACTTGATGAAAGACGCTCTGTAAGATGTGCTATATCGACAAGGCGAGGAGAAAGCAGCCTAATGGAAATAGCTCCAAACCATTGTTGCATAAGTAGCGACCTGCACGAATGGTGTAACGATTGCCCCGCTGTCTTCGACATGGACCCGGTGAAATTGAATTCTCCGTGAAGATGCGGAGTACCAACGGCTAGACGGTCTTTCCAAAGTTGGATATTGTTACAATAATTTCGATCAAAATTCAGATATATTTCATACCCTTTTCTCAAAAAGCAATAATGCCACCACATAGAAAAATTAAATTTTTTCTCAATAAGAAATGAATGAGATAAAGTATATTTTACAACATGGATTTGCGATTGAGAAAATCTTTTAAACGGTGTTCATACTTTCTTATTTGTACAAATGTTGCAAATAGTTATGTACTAATATTTGTCTTTACTTTACTACTTAACATAATTTTAATAAAATAAGATTTGACAATTTTCCAATTTTTTTCTACACAGTTTCTGATTACTTTCTTCTACACAGTTTCAATTACAGTTAACAGTAGTATTCATTTTGGACTTATGCTTAATTTCTGACTTTATTCTGCACAATTTCTAAGATACTGGCGGTGTTGTCAATACACAGTCCAATACTTATAGCTTACCATTTGTTTAGCAATTGCTAAGATTTTGACGGCTACATCTTTAAAATTAATTCTATCGGCTTAATTTATGTGTCACATTTTTCTCGAATAATATTATAAGCAGTGGCGTAGTTACATGGTGATTTTACGATAACAAGCGGAAGTACTTGTGTAGCCCAGTAAAATGATACACAAAATTATTAAATAACATATTTTGACATCCTTAACATAACAAACGGTTGTAGCCCAGTGATTTCACCTCCTTGGAATGAGGAAGTATTTGTGTGTTCGAATTTCACTGATTCTACTTTTTGAAAAGAGCTTTATTATGCTATTTAGACATTCTTTCTGAAATTTCAGACTCCGCCACTTATTATAAGTCCAGATTTGTTGAAGCACGTTAAATTCTACTTTTATATCATGTCCATACACCAACAGAATGTTCAACTTCAATTGTACTTCCCAATACAATAGAAGTACATATTTCGTCTCATAGTCTCATTTCATCTCGATTATAAGGCACGGTCTAATTTTAGATATAAATTTTTATT